CAAGGTTTTTAACCTAGAAACATCAAAATGTATCAGATTATATAGATTTAGGACTTCTTCGTTCAAATATACACCACTTCCAGGGTGGATTGTGCCCATGTTTCTAAAGTATAGTTTTAGTGTACTCTGTAATAAATACATATATTCTTATTAAGATATTCGTAATGGAAGGGTTCGGTCTCTGGCTAACAAATGCATAATACCCCCAACTGGTTTGCAAATCGTCTTTGGAAAAACTTGGCAGTTCCAGCTATACTAGATCAGCTGTCACTTTCCCTTTGACCCCAGCTATTTTGGAAAGGACTTTGATGTTTACGGGTTTCAGGTCAGTCCTCCAGGGCACTCACTGTTTACTTATCCATGATTTATTGATTTGGAAATGGTCTTTTCAGCTTGTCAAGAAAGTGGACCAAAGGTGATAATTGGGGGCGGGGGGATAGGCTAAAGCGTTATTTGCCCTCTACCCCAATTCAAACATCCAATGGATCAGCAACTGTGCTGTGCAACTGGGATGTGCTGAGTGAGCCCCAAGGAATGCCTACCCTGAATATGCTTTATTCTTTTCTTTTCAAAAACTCCTCTTATAGCAGGAAGAATTTCCCTAGAAGAACTCAGAAGACTGCACTGGACAGAGATAGGAGCCAAGCTTGAACCTGCCTATCACATGTTTATAGCCTTCAAAATGTAATTTCCAAAGCCAAGGGGGGAAATGCTGCTTTTCATTATCTCTAAGAAAGATAACAGCAGCAATCCAGCTTGTTTGCCTGCTTTATGAGAGGCTAAAATCAGGTGAAAAGGCAGCAGTAGCTGAGTTAAAAATAATCTTTTCAAGATAAATGCTCCCTTTATACTTTTGAAACTGAAATCTTTGAAGAGTCCTCTAACAGCTGGCGCAGAGTACAGTACCCCTTATTCCAATGCTCTCCCAACAGAGAAATTGGGAGAAAAGACATTTATCTTTAAGCAACCAAGATCTTAGCAACACCCCTGGAGAGACCATGGTGACACCACCAACACCCACCAATCATGAAGCGGTATGCCTGTGTCAGACGCAGTCAGGGCAAATTCACGTACTTCAGCTGGTAGGCTGCCCATCACTTCCCCAGTCCCTCTCCTATCCCGTCATGCCTCCATTCTGCTTGCTTCTTTACTCAGACAGGCCTTATTAGCCGGCTCCCCTCCAGCCTGACTGTTTTATGCAGCTTAAATGCACAGTTTGCCACACGAGCAGTGATCATGGGAATTGTTAGCCCCAAAGACATCCCCCCCCTGCACTCCACTTTGCTGGAACAAAAGTAGGCAGAGAAAGGGAGATTCAGCCTGCTGTCACACACACTAAATAATCCCCTTTCAATGCACTTTCCAACTGGATTTTGCCAGTCCACACAGTAAAATCCAATTGGAAAGAGCACTGAAAGTGGATTGAAAGTGGATTATTTAGTCTGTGTGACCGCAGCCTCAGAGAGCGGTGCCACCAAGGCACTTTCCCCATGCCTTCTTGCCCTAAGAGCTGCTCGCACTTCAAGGTTCACCTGCAGGGAGAGACAATCCTCCCTGAGGCAATCCTCACCTTCCCCATGCAGTGTGTTACCGGTGAACTCTTTCTACAGTAACAGTTTGTGCAGCTATACATGGCCAGGCTGTAAAACGGGGAAGGCAAAAAGGGCCATAAAAATTTGGCCTGCAGAAGCAAATATGTGGCTGTGGCTGTATACAGTGAAAGATTAATCAGCATGTAGAGTTTCATGGGCATAAAGAGCCCTGTTCAGTCATTATGTTTCTGATGCTACTAACACATGTGTCAGGAGAACATGCCATGCACAATCAACTCAATATGTGTGATTGCCATTTTGTTTTGTCTGAATCAGGCAATGCACATATATTCCAGCTTTCGTACATGCAAATATGTACCCGGGTCTCTGATGGCAATGTACCAAGGCCAGAATACGTATGTGTTGCCCAGTTCAAACAAAGTGGTGATTGTGTATAGTAATAAAGATGGGTAGCCGTGTTTGTCTGTCTGTAGCAGTAGAACAGAGCAAGAGTCCAGTAGCACCTTAAAGACTAACAAAATTTGTGGCAGGGAATGAGTTTTCGTGAGTCACTGCTCACTTCTTCAGATACAGCATCTGACGAAGTGAGCAGTGACTCACGAAAGCTCATCCCCTGCCACAAATTTTGTTTGTCTTTAAGGTGCTACTGAACTCTTGCTCTGTTCTACTGTGTATAGTGAGATGATTTCATTTAGCATGCTTTCCTAGTACTTGTGGGGGAAGTGCCAGACATTCATTTATTACTTATTTTTTTAATTCATTTGTACCCTGCTTTTCCCCTGAGTGAGGACCCAAAGTGGCTCTTTCCCCCCATTTTTCCTCACAACAACCCTGTGAGGTAGATTAGGCTGACAGAGTGTGACTGGCTCAAGGACACTCAACAAGCTTCCATGGCACAAGTGGGGATTCATACCCAGGTCTCCCAGACACTGCTCCAACACTCTTAACCACTACACCACACTGGCTCATATGTAATGTAAAGACTGCAGAGGGCTATTGTCTCTGTGCCTTCTGTGTGGGAAACAAGGCTAGCAGCTTTTGAGGAAGGAATTGTTCAACCAATGCACAACAGCTACATATATCAGGAGTGGAAAGGAACAGACAAGGCAGACATTTGCATCAGACAGGAGGCATGGGGAAAAATTCATTCACCTATGTTGCATATATTGTCCTCAGATGAAGGAAAGGAGGTGAGGTTCCTGTTGGGTGCCTGCGGCCTGTGGTGGAGTACCTGTAAGAGATCTGAAGAGACAAGTGTTTATCAAGAACCTTTTCCTGTATTTGCTCAGGCTGTCTGTGCCTTTTTTGAGCAAAGCTCTTTAGCCAATGTTCTCATCATCAAAGACTCTGCTTCTGTGCTCAGAGTTTGCACAACAAGGGGCCAAAGCGATACAGCCCTATTTTCAGAGATACCAATGTCCTGGCATGAACTGCTGTGCTGCTATGTTTATGCTATGATTGGCTGCAGATTTTTCAGAATCCTATGCTCCATCATGGCTCCCCAATGAAGTGGGAGGTGGGGGCCGGTTACTTTATCTTTCCATTTATTTCACTGGGTGTATTTATACGTTCACCACTTTTGGGCTACAGTTGGGACCAGTGTTCCCACTAAGCTGAGTTAGTGTGAGCCAGCTCACAGTTTTTTAACCTCTGGCTCACACATTTTTGCCTCCGCTCAGGGAGGAGGGCTCCAGAGAGCAAACGCATTGATGCAGGAGCCAAATGGCTCGCTCACAACTTTAAGGCCAGGAGCTCACAAAGTAGAATTTTTGCTCACAAGACTCCACAGCTTAGAGGGAACATTGGTTGGGACTGAGGCTACGAGAGTGCATAGACGACCAAACTCCATTCCTTCCGTCACTTAACTGCCATTTAATTCTGCCATTTAATTCTGGCCTCCAGTGTGCCCTTCTGCTGGTGCAGGGATTCCTTTCTGGACTGGTATTTCCACACTCCTTAAATTCTGATGCTAGTACCGGTAGGTATAAACGAAGGACAGTTATTTAGGGTTGTTAACCTCCAAGTGAGGCCTGAGGTTCCCCTAGAATTACAACTGATCTCCAGACTACGGAGATCTGTTTGCCTGGAGGAAAGGGCAGCTTTGGAGGGTGGACTTCAGAGCCCTAGCCCTGCTCATGCATCAGCTCCCTCCTGAGCTTCCCTCCCCAGCCAAAACTCTGCCCTCCCCCAAGCTTTGCTCTAAAATCTCTAGGAATTTCCAACATGGAGTTGGCAACCCTAACTGAAGGGGTGGGGGTCCGATTCACAAGAGGAAAGGATACGTGTGGACAAAACCATCTTTAAGGGATTGTTCCGCCATTAGCTGCTTGCAACCAGCCCCTTCTGCCACATTATGGATCTGAAAAATCTAACTTATTTTATGACCTTTTCTCATACCTAAGCAGATGGCTCCAAAGGGATGTCTCCAAATTGGGGTGAACCAGCAACAAAATGGCAAATTTTGAGCCAGTAAGTGTTAAATAGCCAGCATGGAAAATCTTTACTTCACATTTACACTATTTGGATCTGAAGGAGGCAACTATCCAAGAAAGAGATCTCGGGGTTGTGGTGGATAGAAGCAATAATAAATACAGAATTTCAGTGGGCAGGATCAGTGAAATGGGGAAATTCCACGGTAGGAATTATTAGCAAAAGGATTCGATTATAAATGGTCAGTATGAGCTTTTTATATAATTCTTGCCAAAATAGATGAAGGACCGTTCTGAATTCTAAGCCGAAAGGTCATTTTAAAAAGTGATGTTTGTCTTCGTGCAGATATCAAAGGTCAGCCCTTTGACACACTGACAGCAGGCGTAGTATAGTGGCTAGTGTTTCAGATTATGGCTGGGGGCTCTGGGGTGCCCACGGCTCCTGCAACCATGAAGCTTATCAAGCGATCGAGGGTCAATCACGCTTCCAGCCTAGCCTACCTGACGGCATTATTGCGAAGACGATGTTGCATGGGGGAGTTAAGCAGATCTGTGCAGAGGAGGCATACACATTTTCTAAATAACAAATAAACAGTATGCGCTGCCCCGGGCTCCTGGGAGGGGACAGGCTAAAAATAATTTAGTCTAGACTGTACTGTATTGGAGCCTTGACCTTGAACCCTTCTGACAATTCTGAGAAGTGGGCTATTAATAGTTCTCAGTACTGCCGCTTTACGCCCAACTGGATGAGGGGGAAACGGCTCTATAAGCCAAAGGCCAGCAGAAAATAAGGTGGCTTTCCAGCTTGGCTGGGATTCGGACACTCTCCTCGCCCTTGACAGTCATACCGAAAGCAAAGGGGGTGGAAACAACAGAACGCTCCATCTGCTCCATCCAGTAGGCGCTCCAGCAGGCGCTCTAGTGCAACCAATAGCGGCTCAGGAAGCGCTGTTCCACTCTTACGTAAGAGACGCTGCCTAACAGGAGATTTGCGACATACGTCCCCCATCCAGCCTAGGGTGCCGCCCGCACTTTACGACAAACCTCCCTCCTCTGCCCTCGGTGGAAGTTATTTAGGCAGAGGGCGCGGTAGCTGGGCACCAATGGGTTGCGGGGTTGCTATGGGAACGGCGGCGCTGTCGTAAAGAAGAAGCCGGGGCCGGTCGTGAAGAGGCCGCTTGTCCCCGGTGGGAGTTTGTCATTGAAGGTGGTGGACCCGGGCCGGGCGGTGTGCTTTCTGTGCCGCTCCCCTACAGCCCTCTTCTGCCATGGCGGCGGTGCTGGCTCGCAAGGCCGTGGACTACGTGCGCAGCAAAGACTTCAGGGACTATCTTATGAGGTGGGCAAGCGGCTGCAAGAGAAGGGGAATCGGGATTCTGCCCCTTTTCAGGCACCACCACACCCCTCTTCCCTCGCCTCCAGGGATTTTTCACCTGATCTCCGTTATGGGCTAGGGGGAGGAATTCAAGCAGCCTTCCCACGCACGCTCAGAGCGGGTGCGCAGCTGCTGCGGTGGGTCTTTGTGGTTTGGAAACGGGGCTGGTGGATCTTATCTATAGGATCTTATAGCCGAGGCTGCAGTCCTAGATGCCCTTGGGCGTAAGATCTTAGAGAAAGGAAGTGGGGGGGGGGGGTGTCGGGATCTCCGCAGTGTGTTGGCATCCCATAGCCAGGATTTCTTTGTTCAGGGGGCATTTAAATTTTAAGAGGACAGTTAAATTATGGTTAATTAAATTAATGTGAATGCCTGTCTTTAAAGAGGGGAGGCTCAGAGCCTGTTTCCAGTCCTTCCTTTCAAGAGGCAGGGCAGCAAGCCCTTCAGTTCCTAGGGAAAAAACAGCTTGGAGGATATTTAATTGCTTTCAGAAGGCATTAAAAAGCCTTTTGAGTTCCCTCCCACAGGGCAAGACAGTTTAGAAGGGCACTCAAGAGTGGTACCTTCATCTCCAGCAATCCCCGTTTCTGCTAGCCCAGTCCTGCTGTATATTTCCCATGAGCCTTTGAGAAACATACAATTAAAGGCCCTCTCTGAGTCCTCTTTTCCTGGGTCCCATGAGGCCCCCCCAAACAAATTTCACAGTGGGAGGGAGAGGGAAGTCTGAGGACAAGCTGTGGTGCTCTCACCCTGGCCTCTGCTAGCCAGAAGTGAAGTGGGGGACTCTCCTCCAAAATAAGGTTTCAGGTATGTATATTTGTGGGGCAGGGCTTTTAATTTAGGGGGCGGGGCTCCAAAATGCCCCACTGTAGCTATGGGCCTGTTTGGCGTCAAACTCCAGTTCAAACTTTTCATGTGGATGAATTGTGTTATGCATTCCCTCCATCTGGTAGCTCTCCGTGGTAAACTACGTATCTTTTAGGGGGTGAGAGAGGGGACTGATTGTCCGAGGATGTGTGTCTAGGATCTGGAGGGGCTATTTGTGAGGGGTAATTGGAGAGCTAGTAGTCTGTTGGTATATGTAACGTCCTCTCTCCCCCTGGGACAGGTAATGATCCATGGTGTCGTTTCCACTCCTGAAACGGCAGGACAGACTTAGATTCCTCCTCTCCTCATTTGGAGTCAGGCCCTCTCTGGTGCTTAAGAATTAATTGTTTGGGAGCCCTGAAATTCTTTGGCCTGTCGTGATTACTTCAATGTAGTTACACTGGGTCAAGAGAATTGCCCTGCTTTCAAAGTAGCAGGGCCCCTGTTCTGCGTGGGTGGGGGTAGTTGCAAGTATCTGTCAGAACCCACAGCCAACAACGAGTACACGCTTTCAGGAAAGGTTATACTTTTATTGAAGAGCTATAGATGCAGTAACATAGTCACTGTTAAGAATGGCAGTTGCCCCTTGGACATAATAAGATATAGGGTATTCGTATGCACCCCCCCCCACTGCACTGGCCAATTAGGCACCCTCCAGCGTGCGGGATAAAGCTAGCAAGCAGTTTCTAGCCAAAGCTGGGAACTCGCCTTCTCCCAGGGCTCCCTGGAAAAAAGCAGACAACACAACTCCCACCTGCACATTGTTACAGATAAGCATTTCAGCGCAAAGCATGGAAAGGAATACAATAGCAATTACACTGACTCTGCCTGACCATCCCAACCCCCATGGCAGCATAGCTGACAGTATCATCCTGTAGTGGTTTCAGTAGGGGCCACCCTTTCATGCACTGTTGCTCCTGCCCACGTGTCTCACTGATGATGAGAGAGTGGATTTGCAGGATGGTTATCAATCAATCAGCTTCTCCATGTAGAAGGTGTACTGCTTTTCAAAAAATCTCTACGTACCTGGTTAGGCTGGAGGAGGGGTACAACATCTTACGCTTTAAAACAGAGGCTTCTTAAGTGCAATCAGTGTTGCAGAGATTATAACTGCACCTGCTGAGTGCTGTCTGGGTGCAGATGTTGGAAACTCTGTGATTGGATTTTCCTAGTATCCTTTGAGCCCTGCAGGTGGTTGATTTGGATTGGAGCTACATGGAGAAGGGAGAGGCGGTTTAATGTTTTTACTGCCTCACAGTGACTGACTAGCCAAAACTAGTTTGCCTGTATTGTTACAGCTGTTAAAAAACATAACCTGCACAGAAGGCAGGAAACTGTTTCTTTTCCTTTAAAGATCTAGTATCAGCTCTTGTAGTCCAGTTTCAGCTAACAAGATCTCCTTTCCCATGGGATCCTGATATGACCCTAAAACTGCTTGTGTAGCTGGGAATAAGTTTTCTGCAGGGCATGCTTTTGAAAAAAAGGCTATGATTTTGGTAACCACATTGGAGAGTTGCTTGTTATTTAGCAACATATTGTTCTCTGAGTAGTCTGCAGAACAAACATTGCAACTTGATATGTGCTGAAGTAGCAATTGTTCTAGTTAAGAGGCAAAATTAACAATCATGTAAATACTAGTCAGTCAGGCATTTATTACGGCAACAAGACATAGGGCACACATGCTTAAATATAACATTCATAACATTCATATAACTGAATATAGGACATTAAAATAAAACTCTATAAAATACAGTTGAGCGTTATAAAATAAAGGAAGAACATACAACAGAGACTATTAGGCAACTGTTATTATATATTTGATCATGTATTTCGGATGCAGTAGCATGCTACCCAGAATTTTGCCACAGTTTCGGTAATTGTCCAGTTCCCATCAATTAACAATTGGTTACACTGTTGGCACCCGATTGTCCCACCATATCTGTTATAAGAGGAGTAATATATTTGTCACCATGTAAATACTAATAAGGCATGGCAATTGTCCCAAAGTCCCCCCCCCCCGGCAGCTGATGTTGGATAAAGCTGGTGGTGCGGTGGCTCAAGTGGTTAAGACGCTGAACTGCAGGCTGTGGAAGGTCAGTAGTTCAGCGGTTCAAGACCCGGGTGCCGCAAGACAGGGTGAGCTCCTGTCTCTAGTTCCAGCTCCTGCCAACCTAGCAGTTCGAAAGCAAGAAATTGCAAGTAGATAAATAGGGACCACTTTGGTGGGAAGGTAACAGCGTTCCGTGCACCTTGGTGTTTAGTCATGCCGGCCACATGACCACGGAAACGTCTTCGGACAGCGCTGGCTCTTCGGCTTTGAAACGGAGATGAGCACCGCAACCCTAGAGTCGGATTTGACTGGCTTTCAAGCAAGGGAACCTTTACCTTTTTATATGTGGTAGTTTATTACTTAATATTAATGTTAGGCATTTGGTTCTGTTAATTGTAAGTTTGGTTTCATGCATGTGGTAACATGTTACTGAAAAAGTACCTTGCGTTGATACTGCACAAGATAGGATCAGCTTTCACAGTAGAGGTACTACTAGTTACTTGAAATGGCATTTCATTTCGCGAACTAGCATTTCTATTCATAACAGTACAAATTGCCTTTGTTTTTCTTTCTGCTATGTCACTTGCTTTGCCTGTTACTAAGATGCTACCTAACTAGTGTAATGGAAACTTGCCTCAGCTACTGTAAAGGTAAAGGTTCCCTTGCTCGAAAGCCAGTCGAATCCGACTTTAGGGTTGCGGTGCTCATCTCCGTTTCAAAGCCGAAGAGCCAGCGCTGTCCGAAGACGTTTCCGTGGTCATGTGGCCGGCATGACTAAACACCAAGGCGCACAGAACGCTGTTACCTTCCCACCGAAGTGGTACCTATTTATCTACTTGCAATTTCTTGCTTTCGAACTGCTAGGTTGGCAGGAGCTGGAACTAGAGACAGGAGCTCACCCCGTCTTGCGGCACCCGGGTCTTGAACTGCTGAACTACTGACCTTCCACAGCCTGCAGTTCAGCATCTTAACCACTTGAGCCACCGCAGCTCCTTCTCAGCTACTGACCTACCTGTAAATATATATATGGAATCTTAGATGCAGGGTGACCAATTTCTTGAAACTTATTGCTTCAGAACTGAAAAGATTCTAAGTACATACATCTGTTAATTAGCCGTATGGGGAATAAAAAAAAAAAAAGCTAATCGTCAGGGTATATTTTGGTTTTTGGCACAAGAGGCTTGCACGGGCTTCTTAGGTTATCTATTCTACAGGTTAACTCCATTCTGGTGCCTCTCAGACTTGCATTGATTAGGCAGTCTATTTTTCGGTAACAGTCAATCCCACCCCCATTCATAGTAGCCAGCATGGGTTTATCAAGAATAAGTCATGCCAGACCAACCTTATCTCCTTTTTGAAAGTTACTAAAATGGTTGACTCTGGCAATGCTGTGGACATAGTGTATCTAGATTTCAGTAAAGCATTTGACGAAGTTTCTCATGATATCCTTGAGGAAAAGCTGGTTAAATGTGGGCTGGATGGTGCAACCATTGGATGGATTCATGGTTGGTTGAAAAATCGTACCCAACGAGTGCTCATAAATGGCTCTGCATTTATGTGGGGGGAAGTCTCAAGTGGAGTGCTGCAGGGCTTGGTCCTGGGTCCAGTGTTGTTCAATGTTTTTATACATGACCTGGAGGAAGACATAGAGGGGATGCTTATCAGATTTGCAGATGACACAAAGATGGGTGGGATTGCTAATTCTGAAGAAGACAGAGTCAGTATTCAAAATGATCTAGATAGGCTGGAACAGTGGGCTGAGACAAATAAAATGAATTTCAATAGAGAGAAGTGCAAAGTCCTACACTTAGGTACAATAAAATCAAAGGCACAGATACAGACTGGGAGGGACTTGGCTTGACAGCAGCACATGTGAAAGGGATCTAGGTGTTCTAATTGATCGCATGAGCCTGCAGTGCAATGTTAAACATGAGCCTGCAGTGCAATGTTACTGCAAAGAAAGCTAATGCAATCTTAGGATGCATTAACAGAAGCATTGTGTCCAGATCACGGGAGGTGGTAGTTCCGCTCTATTCTGCTATGGTCA